CCCCAAAACCCCAAAACCCCAAAACCCCAAAACCCCATAAAGACCTGAAATGGTTGAACATTATACTAAATCCAATAATTATTCCAAAATTTAGACTATAAGGAAAATGGCACTTGAATGAGTAATAATTAACACTGGAGTCATTGTTATCGAATATGTTCATTCTACTTTGTTCATATCAACGATAATAGCTAATTTAATCATCAGTAAGTTAAATTCTTGATAAATCCGAGCACTATTTTACTCGTAGGATCCCTCAAAAATAAAATAGCAATATGGGCCATCTAACTGATCTATAGGTGTACTATATCTTTTCCTGCACATAAAAGAGCCAGAAATCTTCCTCATATGGGCACTTTCAAGCGTTGTATTTCACACTATTTCCTATGTGACTTACATCACACGTCCCATTAATAGCCATCCGAATGTCTGCAGGAGGTTCCTTCGGATGACTCTTCCTGAGCAAATGTGGAAATTTATTCTCTGTAGATGGCTTTATAAATATGTAGAAAAGTATGCTATAATTTCACATCTGATTCATATGACTGGTATGCTACTGTTCTGTCTATTATTCGGACTCTACCTCAATCCTCTGCTCCATGAAAGTTATAACAGGGAAGATTCTCCGAAAGGTGATGAAATTGCAGTAGGACAATTTGCGTTCATCTCCTCGATCTGACTTGGTCTGGATATTTTCATCATGGAAATACTGATAGCTTTATCAATGATCCCAGTTCTACCAATTTCAGCCCTGATTTATCTTTGAAGCTACTGATGCTGTTGTCCAAAAGTTCGAAGGGTTATGAATGAAAAGCAAGACAATGATGAAGACTCTGATGACGAGGAAGCTGAATTCTTCAGAAAGTTTAAGAAAGGAGAGACGTTACAGCAACTCTTACTTTATATTTACCAAAACAATAAGATCATTTTTAAGAAAGCTAATTTCAGGGATCATTGTGAAGAACTTACCACAAATGTAGCCTCTTCACCGAAGAAAAGAGATAATGAATCATTTTTTTAGAGAGGAAGCCCTTAGCAAAGATCAGCCAAGAGATGAAAGTTTTATTACCAACGAAGTCACGCGTAAAATTACCGAAATGGAGCTATTAGATGATATCAGCGAGAATGAGTGCCCAGATACTTCCCTTACTCCTGTTCGGGCTTACGACCCTGCCCTTCAAGCATTTATTGAAGATGTTCACAGAGAATTTGATCTGGATAGTGACTCGAATGTAAGCTCTTTTCTTACCTTATAGGACAAATCCATTTCAATAAATCAAAGGAGATCTGAGGAGAAAAAGTAGGTCTAATTTTTTTACCTAAAATAGACATTTACAGATCAAAAATATGAAGGACAAACGAACCAGATTACTATCCGAACATATCCAGCCGGCTAATAAAATTGTGAAAAGAACTTTTAAAAAAACAGGAGCTTCATTTAAAGTTATTCGCGGCAGGACATCAATGAAGAAGATCGATCGTGGTGTGCTCTGCACAATATGACAAGACGATGCAAATGAAAATGACTCTATGCTGCAGCTTGATTGAGGTAAAACTCATATTCTACACTTTGGGTGCTTGAAAGAATGGGTTACTAGGAAGCCAGAATGTCCTTCCTGACGTTCAGATCTTATAAAGCTCTACAGCAAAAAAATCTTAGAGGAAGCTAAAAAGAATAACGAGATATTTGAAGAGGATGGCTGTGTATACGCTGAGGATTTGATTCCAATGAAAAAAGCAAAGATCAAACTCTTCAAACAAATAGAGGCCTTTGAAAATCAAGAGAAAAAAGATGACAATGCATCTTTATCAATTCTTCAAAGGGTGTAATTTTAATAGCATTCAATTTGAACTTCCTATTGAGGGGTTTTGGGGTTTTGGGGTTTTGGGGTTTTGGGG